TAGAGTGTCTAGTCGTGATCCAGATTAAGTGTAGTTGAGTCATTTACTGGTAAGGGTATTTCCGTCCATTTATTTGTAGTACATTTAGGGATTAAATACAGTTATACATATGTGATCATATGGTGCATTAGGAAACTTTTGGAATGAGGAAGAAATATGTGAGAGCGTTGGGCTCTGTAGGTTCCTGAATGGGAATGTGTCTACATCCACAGTATCGGGTGGGCGCAGTTGTATTCCATCATAGTTAGCGGTGACATACCGAGTTTCCTTCCTTCATCAATTCTTCGGACGAAAATTTATGTATCCAGATCGATAATGAGAGTAAGAAACTCGTGTATCTTATATCTATGTTTGATTAGTGTATCTCATTTTAATTTTCTTCCCAAATTTTCTTGATTTTCAATTTTTCTTGTTTCCAATCTCTACTCTTTTGAGTGTCCTCTCTATTTTCTCGATCTTTGTTGTCTTTATTATTTTATTGTTGAATTATGCACTCATACTCATTGCCGGTATCAGTGCCACTATAGTTGGTTAAAATAAAGCCAATGTTTGAGATGAGTTAAGTAACCGGTTGATAGCTAACAAGGGGGGGGAATAATTACAGCTACTTAGTCCACTATGGCTATGATTCATATTCTAGTGATAAGAGCAATATAATCATGATAAAAAAAGGTGAAGCAATTAATTCAAAAATAGATTGAGCATTAACGATGATTGGGAAGGCAAAGTTTGTAATCTTGTTTTGTTTTGTCATGTAGTTCGATAGGTTGTGAAAGGGTGAAACTACAGAAGTTCAAGACTTTTTTTCAATGCTATAATACTCAAAAATCACCCAATTGTAAAAAGAAAAATATAAAGTAAAAAGTAAAACAAAAAAAACATTGTTTCCTTGAAAATTGATAGGTTAGAGAAAGTCTCACATCCCTTTAGTGGCCTTTTGAAACACAGCATCCATGTGAGAACAGCGGAGTTAGAAGTAAGACATTTGAATTATTTGGCAGTGTATATCAGTTTGGACGGTAGAGAGTCGAGGTGACTTTATTGTGAGATCCAGCAAGGAATTTTATTTTATTATATTATATATATATATATATATATATTAAAGAGAAAGGGGTACAGATAGGTTGTATGAGTGAACCCAAATAGACACGCAACCCATACGGTACAACACACAAAAAGAAAAAGAAAAAAATTAAAAACCCAAAAGTAGATGATACATAAAAGATCAACCAGGTCGACCCACTTTAGTTTTGGCTCTGCTTTTAGTTCTCGGAAATGAACCAGCTAATAGATTGGTGAGGTGTGTACCATTGCCCAAAGTAACCAGAGTATCATCCTTTAGATTCATTAGCCCAAGTAGATCTCCATTCTTCTTCTTTCTCCTGAAAGTGTAGACCTGTAATTCCTCATCCAAAGATTGTAGCTCATTCGGATGAGGTGGTAGTGCTGCAGTAGAAAGATTGTCAGCAATTATGCCAACAAGTGTATGAGAGGTAAGAGTTGTCGCCTCTACTCCTGATACTTCCTGAAGGTGGGGAGCTGCAAGGTTCTCCTAATTATCAGTCTGCGTATGTAGGGGTCCATTATTGTTTTCAATAGGGTTTGAAAGTGTAGGTTGCACAGCATGGCCATCCAGCTTCACATCGATCGCAGAAACAATATTTTCAGGGGGAGGGTCCACAGGGGCAATAGAATCAGACACCAAATTCTTGTGGTAGTTTTCTCTCCAGGTTGAATAGATATATACTTAGATCCATATTTATTCACTGGATCTTTATATTTCAAATTAGGATGAAGCTTGTGACATTTATCAAGGGTATGCTCAAACATCTTACAATGAGAACAATAAGGTCTATGCTTCATGACGATTTGTTGTCAATATTCATTTTGTGTTGTGTCCAACCAGACATGAGTAACATCAGTTTATCAAGAAATTTAAAACACCCTACATCATAGAAAATGCTTGTACCAGAGGTTGCCAGTTTGAGTTCACATGTAAGGATCAAACCCAACCAAAAAAATGACTCAACACAAATATAATCAACCTAACCTAAACCCATTCTTTAAACGGGTCAAAAATCACAACTTGAATCTAACTCGATCAAGCCCCTGACCAACATAACACAAAACATTTCTCACGATTGGTTAATTTCAACTATTCAAAACAATCACACACATTCAATTTGGACACAAATCAGAAAAAATACATTATTTTTTATGAGTTATAATGAAATTTAAATATTTGAAACAATTTTTTAATTTAAACACTACCCAAACCCAAGTTTTTTGGGGCAATTACGCTTGACCCAAATCGTACATTAGTTAACCCAAACTCAAAAATTTTATGTCAAGGTTGAGTTATGTTTTTATGTCGAGTTTGATTAATGTTTTCATGTCGGGCTCAATATCTCTACCCATATTTGTACGATTTAATTTGATAATATACCAACCATGAACAAAGGATTTGTCTCGAAAAAGAAATAAAGGAGTCATGGGTGAGCACCAAAAGTACAAAAAAAAAGTAAGATTTAAGAAATCAAGGCAAAATTCGTTAACGTAAAACGCAGCATAACTAAATAGGAAAGCAATAGCAAAAGATTGAGATACATACATAAAGTGGCACAACAAATAATAGCATATAGCTTGAACATGCAAGCAATACGGATGGCGGTGTGTTGTCTTGAGAGTGCGTAAATGGCATGTGCCACTCGAGAGTGATGTTATGAATGTCTTAAGAGGGGATGCATATGCAAGCATGGGCGCAGAGCACGGCGCATGGGTTGCAATATGCAATGTGTGGCAAGTTGCAAGCCTTAGGATGAAAGTTGCAAGAGGGGTGGATGAAAAGTGAGAGGGTAGTTTGATCAAGGAAGGGTTTTAATCTAGAGGGATCAATCAAAGGAGAGAGGGGTTGGGCTAACCGTAGAAAGAGCAGCTACTAGTGCTAGGTTAACCTTGCGTGGATATCATGATATAGAAAAAAAGTTGTGGTATATATTATTAACAAAGAGTCGTCTTAGATTAGATGGTTTGATCATATTAAATTTGACCATCTAATGATCCGGTTAGGAGAGTAGATGTTTTAGATTCGGCTTATTTTACAAAAAATAGAGGTAGACCTAAAAAGACTTAGGCTTATTGTATAAAGAATGATCTAAATCAATTAGAATTAAATGGAAAATATGACACTCAATAGAATGCAATAGAGAAAAAGGATTCATGTAGCAAAAAGGATTCATGTAGCTCTTCATGTAGCTCACCCCACTTAGTGGGATAAAGACTTGTTGTTGCTGTTATATATAATTAACTGAAAGGCCCTTTTATTATAAATAAAGGAATTATACCCGAAGAAATTAGTATAATGTTCTAAGGAAAAATCGAATAATTGTACACCACTCAATAAAATATATACCTCTTTTTAAAATGTTAGCATTTCTGGTGCTAATAAGTCTCAACTATGACATTACAATCAAGGATCAGATGGTTTAAGTTAGCTAAGGATAACTAAATACAATACTTTCCAAGGATTTCATAGAAAATCCAAGTGAATGGTTCATTTTCACTGCTTCAAAATGCAAAGAATGAGATTAATGGGTATTTTTTTAATTTAATGGAGACATCCACTTCCACCAGTCCAGCTGAATCATGGAACTCAATATAGAAGAGTTATAACATTTAAACAGCAAGCAGAAATTAACATGACCATATGTAGAGCACATAAAACATGACCAAAAAAAAAACTAGGAAAACATTCCCCCGTAAAATTCAGCAAAAATGATAAAACAAAAACACCAAACTGATTACTGCAGTAATGGTCATTTAAGATAATATAGAAGGACTAAGGGATTGTTTGGGATCACCCTCTCTTTTATTTTTGTTTTTTTAATTTGTTTTATTTTTGTTTTGTTTTCTATTCTCGGTTTTCTGTTTTTAGAAAGTGTGTTTAGTACTTTGACATATTTGATTGGATATTTTTTATTTTTTTTTAAGAAAAAACTATACTTTTTTATAAAACGGTTGAGTCCCTGTGCGTTCCAATATTAAACTCTACCACCCATGGCGTATACAATGTATTCCTTACTCCACCCAACACGAAGCATTACTTGTTGGGCGGCTGGACGACGGGCGGCAATTGGCGAGGTGGACGTCGGGAGGCGGCCGGCGAGGAACTCACTTTCTTCGGTGTTTTAAAACAAACAAAAACATGTTTTTTCTGTTTTGAGTATTTTAAAAACAAATTTTTTCCTCTAAAAAATAAAAAACAAAAATAAAACAAAAAATATATAAGCAAACATTGTTTTTTTGTTTGTTTCCCATTTTTTGTTTTCAAAAACAAAAAACAAAAAACAAAAATTGATCCCAAACATCCCCTAAACAAATTAAAATGCAAGATGAAGTTTATGTTCTGAACTGTTAATCCTAATATCTGAAAAAAAACCAAGTAGCTGCATAAAAAAAGCGAGTGCTTGAAATAATTGTACTTCAGGAGCAAGTTGCTTGTTTCTCCCCAGACGAACTATTTTTTTATACACATTTCTGAGTAAAAAAGTGTTTTGGTTTAAAGCACTTCTCTTTTACAGCACATTTACCAAAATAGTGAGATAATAATGTGCAGCTAGATTCAAGCCACACCACATTTATCACCTCTAAACACTTCAACATACAAACAAGGCTCAAATATAATATAGAAAGAAAATGTAACAAATTCAACATCTGCAATACGCTTGGAGTAAAAAATTTTACAAAAATAGCAAATCAAATAAATTATTCCTCCAACATTTCTCTCTTTTCTTGAAATATGAAATCCCCTAAAAAATAAATCAAGAACAAATAAAACAAATTCATGTTCTGCTATATATGAACTCACTGCCTCATAACAATAACGATGCATAAAGTGGGTCCTCAAAAGGTTAAGATAATAATGTCACTTTTACAAGGCATGGAAGGGAAGCTGCACAAAAATTTAAAGCAATAAATATTCAACTGATGGGCCAAATTACCGAGGACGAAAGGTATGTCCAATGCATTCTAGCAATGTCCATCTTTTTTCAGTAGTGTTAAAAGCCCAAACATCATCAAAAATTTGCATTGGACCCCCCCTGCCTCCGATCACATAGAGAATATTTTCCACTGCTGTAGAAGTATGACCAACACGAGGTGATGGAGATCCAATAGCATCAACTTCCTTCAAGTGTCCAGATTGTGTATCAAGCAACAAAGTATAATTTCTTCGTGCATGATTACCAATACCACCAAACCCGCCAAAGATGATAACTTCTTTAACTCCGTTATTGATTAAAGGATTTGCTGAATGACCCCATAGGAAAAGCTTTTCAATAGGTTCACCAAGAATCGTCAATGAAACAACGGAAAGAGATAATCTGTGCATTCCTGGCATCTCTGTTTATCAATTTCAACTCAATCTATAAAAAAGGAAATGATTTTTGCTAAATCAGACAAAATCAGCATGCTAAAAACATTATTATAATAAATAATCAATATGGCTTCCCAACATTCTCAATAAGAAAATCAAACAATCCAACGAGTTAATCAAGTGAAAAAAAAAAGATAGCATTCATAATTATATGATGACATGAAACCATTACCAAATCATTATTTAACATAAATTTGTGCTGCAAATATCAAAATTCAACTTCTCATTACCTTCGTCATGAAGCAACACCACACACACACCCACAAACACACACTATTAGGCTACAAATTTTCATTTCTATTTGTTAAGAGAGTCCAAGTCAATTAAAAAAGTAACCCCAAACAAGCTTAAGGCTTCTTATAAACCTAACTTAATGCTTAAAGCCTTCCATGACGTACCTTGAAAGGTGCATAAAGCATTCCATGACGTAAACCGAGTGAATCTGAATAGTAAGTACCTAAAATAACATAAATAGGTTACAACCATGCCAAAATCTCTAAGATCATGCCACTTCTTCAACTCTTAGCGACAAGCAGTGTATATACAGGACAACAACTAGGTCATTGCAAGGACATATTTTAGTTGATGTTATTAACCTTCATAATCTTACCTTTAACTACAACTTTGGAAAACCACTTCTCAGCCTCTCACTAGTTCTTGCCCCCATTTTTATCAAAACCAACCATAGTTTTCTATTTCCTTTCATTAAGTTCCTTGCAGGCCCTTCCGATTAAAATATAATTGATTTATAAGAGTTAATTAAGCCATAATTGATCTATTTTACTTTTCGTAATTAATCAATTAAATTTTATGCTGCTATATTTGGTAATATTTTACTCATATTTTAATAAGGAGAGATCAAGACATGATTCTCTATTAACTGCCTTGTATCATAATTTTCCTCAATGTATATCCATATATTAGGTTATTATTATGATCAGTTAATAAAAAATTCTCCCCAATGCCCTAAAACTACATTTTTTTCCCCTTCCATTAGCCATTTAGATCGTTTGTCTCATAGAAGCCTGATCATTAAGCTCATTCCTTTTGCAGAATTCACAAAGGAATTCAAAAGCAAATTCGTCTAGCAGAGAGCCCATGGGCTTGTTCCCCACTAGTGAGTGTCTTGTCGAAGAGAGTTGTTGGGCACGATTCCCTAGCAAAGGCACAATTTCATCCAATTCTTGAGGTCACCATCATGCCTCTATTAATCTCCAAGTTTTAGACCGCATTGTACTCTTAAATTCGTAGATTCTCCTCTTAATCTCCGAGTTTCTTCTTTTTCAAAGTCCTAAAAGACTGCTACAATCAGCACAAAAGAACTAAAAAAAATTGGCGGCAGTAAGCATCAATTTAGGGTTTTGGGTTTATTGCCTTGCCGGTCAAAAGTTTAAGTTTTCTCCTTTTGTTGATAGTTTTCACAATTGAGTTTAGTAATCGTGATGTGTAAGGAAAAGTTCTTAGTAATAATATTTATTCTCCCTAATGCCCTAAAACTAGATGGTGTCAGAGCCATCGTGCTCTCTTTTCAGAGAGATATTTTTACTTCCATTAGCCATTGAGGTCATCTGTCTCATAGAAGAATTGGTGTGGCTTCAGTTGCAGATAAGATTAGAGAGAGTCATCTTAGATCATTGTATTTCAATCAATAATCATTAATTCTGACAATAAATAGAGTGTTGCTAGTCCTGAAAAAACACATTTAAAAAAACAAAAAACAGCTCACATTATGCAAGCATCCAAAAAAGTGTTATATAAATAACTCAATATGGTATTTTATCCCATACTTTTCCTTTTGAATGGATATCGAGATTCATCATCACATACATTCCCTTTAGAATGCATAAAAAATTAAGCTAAGTTTTTACGAAATGTGACAGAGTAAAGAAACATGCATCCTAATTGAAAGTATAGGGATGACAATTAAAGAAAATTTAAGCACACCTTTCATAGGTTTATGCTCATCTTTCATAATGGAAAGAAGTACAAGAATCGGAAAAAGTGGGAAAATAGAACAGAACATGGATGAAAACATAAAGATTCGCTCAGATTTCAAATTGCAGATTTGTTCAAGGAAATAAAAAATTTCGCAAAATAGCAAAAATAAAAGCTCTCTGTTCTGTTCAACACTGATATTGTCAACCCCACATTTAGAGCACACAACTACTATCTATAAATAAAGATAAAGCTGCAAGAGCGGTAGACATTTGGATAGCTCCAAATGCCCTCAAATTTTATAAAAGACACTGAATCTTGCATTCCATAAAATAAAATAAAATAGAAAACAAAAAAAGTGCTTCTGATCTCACACACACCCGAGGTGGCTTATAATCTCAATCCACCGGATTCGTAGAGTTTAAATAAATATAAATTTTTGGCCTGACCTTCTACAACAATCCTAAAATTTGTGAACAAGAGCTTTCCACCTATAGCAATCCAATAACTTGTAGAAATCAACTATCAAGTCTGACTGACCCTAAAAGGCTTGATCTGAATCTGACCCAAACGTTAAACAAGTCAGAAAATCAAATCAAACCCGACACCCACCTTCAAACTGACTAACCTAAGCCCGGCCTATGTAAACCATTTAACATAAAACAACTTTTTGAGTCAGGATTTGGTCGATTTTGAGTTGATGGTTCAATTTTGGGTCAAATTCAGGTTGACAAGTCAACCCGAATCCGATCTTAAAAATTAAACGGGTTAAGATTATAGACCTAAACTCAATCGTAAAAATAAACAAGTCAACTCGAACCTGAATTTTTTGAGTTCGAGTTTGGGTTGATTTGACCTATCATTAACATCTGCTCTCCACTTACAAAAATCTAGCAATCATAGACAATAGCTTTCCTTCTACAACAAATAACATTCTATGGATAGAGTATTTCATTTATGCTATGGAATTAATTCTAAACTCTAGAATTGAAGAGTAGTTTTTCAATGTGTTTCATTTCGAGATAGTTGTTTCTCTGTCTATTTATGTATAGCTCTTCAGAAATTATTACTATAAATTATAAAAGTTGTTCTTATGAAGCCTTTATGTACTTAAAATTCGTTATTTATCATTATCACAATTTAAATCATCATCATCATCATCATCATTTGAATTCTTTTTGTTTTCATTATGAAGCCTTTATGTACTTAAAATTCGTTATTTATTATTATCACAATTTAAATTATTATTATTATTATTATTATTATGATGATGATGATTATTATCACAATTTACATGTATAAATATATCATCATCATTATTATGATGATTATTATTATGTACTTAAAATTCATCATCATCATTTTTTTTAAAAGACCATGTATTACAATCATATCATAAGATAAACTATTTTTTTTCAGGAAACAATACATGTATAAATATATGAATCATATTCAATAACATACAAATCCCTCCAGTTTGGGCCACACCTCATGCAAGCCCATGATTTAAAAATCCCCCACAATGAAGCATAAAATTTAGTCAAACTTCATATTTGATTGTTAGTTAACAATACCATCAATTGAACGTAAAAAAGACAAATAACCATTACGTTCATCTATATTTCCCCTTTCTGCTTCTTCTAGTGCAGTCATTGCCCCTCAACTCTTGCTCTTAATGCAGGCTATTCTAACAATCTCTAGCAAATTCAACTCCAAGGGAATTCTCTATACTCAAATGTTGCTTCTAAATCAAATGATGTTGGACAAAGGACCACTCCAACCACCTCCAACTTTCATATTCTTCTTTCTCTTCTTCTCTGAACCAGCATGAACTTCTTGGAAAATAAAAATAGCTCCATGAGAGCATTCCATAAGAATCACAAGACCTCTCCCGCTATCGCCAAATCCAATATTTTTCATCTTCAACTCCGATGTAAGCAGGCAAAGCAACTTCATCTCTTTGAAAAATAACCTAAAATCAGAAAAAGAGAAAAATCCTTGGAGATAAAAGTACTTTGGATATAAAAATTAAGTTTACTCAAACCTCGGTTAAGAAAATTGTTAATGACTGCTTTGAAAGACTGCCTTCCAATGAAAAAAACTACTTTCAAGACCAAAAACCAAATTAGGGATCATAGGGAAATCTCAAAAGAAGCTAGAGATCAAAGTTGATGGTATTTAGAATCATGGACAAGTTCAAGTGTAACCCAAACTTGAAGAGCCAAAATGATATTCACACATAATGCAAATTGGTTGAGTATGGTCTAAAGAAGCAATAAAGAATGTATCAGCTACCGCTTAAAAATCTCAGCTAAGAAATTTATGCCATGGCTCTGTATGCTTTACCAAAGCAATCCAAATATCAACAAGTCATAGGTAGTTTAAGATTCATGAAGATTAGAAGTGTTAAAAGAAATATGATTAAACATTAAGACATAAGCAAGGTCGGTGTCGAATTAAATCTAAGCCAAATGAAAATTATTAAATAATTTGGCTAATCATTAGTTTTGATTGGTTTAAGTTGATTTGAATTGGCATTTTTATGCAAGTTAACATTGCCATACGGGCTGTTGTTTTAGTTAAATCTGAAGCTATTGCATCAATATAAACAGTTAGGCTGTCATAGCTTAGGGTTGGAGAGTAATGACCTCAGTTTTTATGTTATTATAAATGCCATAAACTATTTATCGATTTCTGATGAGAAAAACCTCACTTGACATGAGTTTTTATAAAAAAAAAAGTATTCCTTTCTACTTCTTGAATCATGATGGATTTGTAACAAAATAAGACCAAGAAGTGGTTTGCAAATCTATTAGTATGAGATGCATAAACTTTCTGCATCTTTTCCTTCTTTCTTAAATAACCTTGTTTCTTATCTTTTAAAATGTTGAAGATCAGACAGCAAACAAGGAGACAACTCCTTGACGATTTTGAGGCACCAAAAAAACAAACAAACTAGTATATGATTTTAACATATTAATTTACTTTATTAAGAGGTATTAAGGAGACTAATTCTCATTGGGAAACAGAAACCAAATGATTTCATGCTTTCCAAAGATCCATAAGTGTAACTTCTAACAATTGAATAGGAAGAGGGTTTAATGATACCAGCTAAGAAAAAAAAGTGTTTAGGGTTTAGGGTTTAGGGTTTAGGGTTTAGGGCATGAGCAATATCATGTATTAGAATGGCATGAGCCAAATCACTCATATCAAATCAAAGGCTCAAACAACATCTGATTGCAAACAAACTGCTTGTAAGCTTTACTTCAAAAAGAGAATTCAGTAACAAATGAGCAGCAATAGAGAGAATCATCCACACATACTTTAAAAGCCAATTGTTCTTTTTTTTTCTTTTGGTTTGGTTAAGCGCACTTTAAAGTACAATAAACTATCATGTTAACCAATAGGTTACAACTTTCTTTTTTTTTTTTTTTTTTTTTTTTTTTTTTTACCTTCTGTTGTCCTTATCAAGAGAGAAGAGATCTAGAATAAGCTTCATTGCATAAGAACTAGAAACGAGCTTGTTTGCATTACTTGCACTTTCATCGACCTTATTGATTTGAGTACTTGTGCTCTGTCCATCATATGGGTTGGTCAATTAATAAAAAAATATTTTTTGTGTATCATCATGGTAGATTCATATTATTTGCTACAATCCTAAAATTCCCTCATCACTCGAACATCTTTAGAATTTCCCCAATCATGGGCACCGGTTACATTCATACCACTACTATTCTTTTAGTCAAAAAATGAGATACTCGACAAATTTATTTCTTTGCTATTGACATCACTTTCGAATTGATCCATTTAGAAGTAAACTATGAGTTTGGATTGATCCATACAGTAGTACTAAACCATCCAAATAGAGTTCATATTTCACATGAAACTGATTAATTCAGCAGTAAAGGATTTATTTATTTTGAAATAGAAGCACAAAATTAGTGACTATTGCAGAAGAGACGACATAATCCACTATATGCTTAACCTTATTGCCACTAACTTAATCGTTCACTTATTAACATTTTTTATAAAATATTTGAATTACATTACGAAACCCTACAACTAATTTAGGAATTATTGCAAGAAGATTACCTTTATTTTCAACAGAATTCAAAACATTATGTCGGTTAGGAGACTGCAACTGCTCACGTTCAGCTTGTAATTTCTTGGATACCACGTTCCTCTGGTTAGCTTCGAAATCAAGTAAATTTCTTTCACCAGCTACTCGGGCTTGAGTCTTTTCAGAAGAGTGGATTAGCGTCTTTGCTGAACCAGGAAGAACCTACATGTTTATAGCAGTCCATAGTAATAGCAGCATATCAATTAAGTTTAACAAGAAAATATATCAAAATAAAGAAATAATGACAAAAAGATCTTTGAATAAGCTGATTTTAAGAGAAAAAAATATCATAACATGTTAATTGGCACATATTAGTATTAAATACTGTAAAGAATCTGGTGACATCAACTATTACTATGATAATTCACAGTAAGAAAAAGTAGAAGTAACAGTTTGTGACTAGTGGAGCACTGAATTAGCCTATGACTATATAAAGTACTTTATCAACTTAAAACCTAGTGCATTGATTTCAATAAGATTTCGATAAAGAATGTAAGATGTTCTCTCTCAAAAATATCCACCTAGTTGCACTTTACTATGCCATCGCAATTTGTTTATTTAAAATCTAAGCCAAGGTTAATATTCCGCTAGAAGGAAATATTGTCCAAAGATGATAGCTGGACATTCCTTTACTTAATGTACCGTCTCTTTAAACAGATATGATGAGCACGTATGTAGATGCAAAAAAACTTCACTACTAACAAAATCCTCCCCATAAACTCAGCAGAAATTCTGAATTAATAAAGTCTAGTAGCAGTTCTGAAATAGAAGATATAAACCCAAATACAAAAAGAATTTCGTTGGAGCAATTCAGTATCTAGAAGGAACAACAATACAAGGAAAGAAGGTACGGCATGAAACAAGAAACAATATCCAGATTGTTGAATTAATCTTGACAGGGAAATATATTAAGCGCCTTGGAAAACAATGCGTGATATGAAATTCTAGGGATCATACAAAGGAACTTAAAGTGCATCATCGTGATTCGTGAATAGTTCTACTCCAATAAACTTGAGAGTTTGTGGCATGAAAGAAATCATTTAACATATAATTTCTAAGAAAAGTAGTGGGGTCATGCATGTAACACTGGAGGGGATACAACTTCCATAAGAAGATTCCTACACAAAAACACACAAGCTGCACGAATAAAACTCAAGATCATTTCAAATCTTCAGAAGAACATAAGATTCCTAGAGTAGTAAAATCCACTAAGAAAGAAAATATTTGATTTTAAAGTAACTGGACCTAGTTAGTAAAGCAACGAGGAAGAAAATGAAAACTTATAGTGAAACATACCTTATCTTGTAAAACATGAAAGAAACTATCTGTTCTCCTTCTATTGGCCTCCATCTTCTCATTGGCAATCCCAGTCAAATACCGAACATACTCTGGTGATACCATTATCAGGCCAACCTGACCTAAAGGCACCTCCAATCGTATAGAGCAACGTATGGAAACCATAACACGCTTATGCATACTTGTAATACCTATAAATATGGTGCATAAATCACAACCCTCAGTCATTTAAAAGCAAGTTATCTCTAACTTTAATTTAGAAAATACATGAATGTATGTACAAGACTCGGGGAGAAAAATAAAACTAACACTAAATACTGTTGCAATGAGAAAATCAAACAAAACAGAGACAGGATGAACAAAAAGACTACCCATTTACATATAAGATATTTTTTACAATAATCAAGCAGAAATAAAATACTAACGCATGGTGCTTTAATAAAATGAACCTTAAGTATTCAGATGAGAGATATTTATAAATTTAACATCCTAAAACAATTCCAATACTGCTTCAAAGTATTGAAAGAAAAACACTTTCAGTATAATCCACATTAAGAACAGCATGAACCGAAAAGGGTAGTTGATGTCAAACTCCAACCATCCATTTCTACTATTTTGGTTCCTTCCGTGATTTTGTTGGTTCTAAAAAAAAGTTGTTATTTAAGCCCTTCAGTTATCAGTAACATGTGCCTTGTGTTTTTTCTCCAAATCTCTTTATGATATTTCCCTTTGCTGCAATTCAACTCTGTGGTTCGTGACTTGCAGTTCTTGCCATTTTTGTGGAACAATATTTTTCACCTGCGATTTCAATTCACAGTAGTTTTCTCTGTACAGGTTGATTACTAAATATGATTTCTGATATTTTTTATTATAACTATGAGAGGCTTTCTGATTGTACAAATGAGACATAAAGGAATGGAAAAATAATTCTAATTGATTTTTATTTTGATTGAACAAATTTTTGATTTGATATAATTTATTCTAGCCTTCTGAAATTTCAGAGAAGTTATCTGCAAATGCTGACAAAAAATTTAAATCTTCTATGTGGTGATCCTTATCTTTTCACATTCTTTTCCTCTAATTTTAGTAATTGATTTGATTGCGTAATTTGGAGCAACAAGGTTTTGTGGAATTTTCAATAGAACATGTAACTTTCATGCTATCATTTTTATGTAAAATTTATATTATACATTTTTTTAATTATCATTTATGTGAACTTTTTAAGCCAGTTTAGGGCTATGCATCGTGCACTCGGGGCTAATTTTTTCAAGCTTTCATGCGAGATGATAGACCCAAAAATATATTTTAAATTAAATTATCAAATTATTAAGTTTTAATCTATTATAATAACTTTCTAATTTATTTATAAAAAGTAAATAAGTATCATTTTTGACTGTTAACCTCATAAGAAACATTGAATCCCTAAGCATAACTCACCTCATCTCCAATGCGTCCCATCTATCATCAGGTCTCTACCAGCTTTGCTAATTACCTTGATTGTATTGGTTTCCCTCACAGACTCATTGCTTGTCTCGATGTCATATTTTGTTTAGTTTTATGTTTATATAATTGTGTCAATTAGATTATGGAGCTATAATATGAATAATGTGATTACAAACTTTGGACATTGAAATTCATATAGTTTTTATTTATATTTGATTTTTTATCATACTATTCATTTTATAAATATTAAAAATATATATTCTTGAACTTATGCTATGTGCCTCGAGACTTGTGCCCTATCCTTGTGACAAGTAAAGCCCATCCTCTTACACCTTTTTCTTTTAAAATATTGACAAATAATTGTCAAAATTGATATTTTATGAACTAAGAATTTGAACTTGTACGCATAATATTGTTCATCTCATTCTAAATTTTCATTGTAAATCCTAAATGTGAATTGAAAGATTCTTTAAATATTACTTACAGGATGTCAAATTCCTAAAGTGTTGAATTTAATAAAACAAATTAGGGCATTATCAATTTTGTTGGTAAAGAATTGATATTAAATCAACATGGTTTGAAATGAACAATAAACTTCAAGAACAATTTGTCATTCAATAAATATAAGAACAATTACATAATCAATTTAAGAATTATAAACAAGTTAATTATGATATATTAGAATATTATAATGGCTTACAAGTCTTAAACCAACAGTTATTTCCAGCAATACTATAATATTATCATTACCTTCTTCATCAAAGATCGTAACAAGAAATTAAGGAGCAACAATTCAGCAATAATATTACACGGAACTTTATATCAAGCTCTAGTTATTGAAGAATATTACAAGTATTCTCTAATTAGAACTACATCAACCATGCCTAACATTTCAAAAGAAAATTCATTCGCATCTTCTCTAAAGCATAAAAAATCTACTGTTAATGTAAAACTATATTGGATAAGAAAATTTTCAATATATGGAGAGTGATATATGTTAACTTGGGCGTTCCATAAATCACTGTATTTGTTTCTCAATCTCATTATCTAATGCTGCTCACACCAACCCCAACCATCCATAAGAACCAGCATATGTCTATCTATGCTACTTGCTCAAGCACTACAGTCTATCCTCTCTGTGGATCCTGAAAAATTCACTCCAAGCTCTTCTGAGAAAGTTTTACTCCGAGTCAATTTTTTAGAAAGCATATTATATTTTAGATAAAACATTATGCAGAGATTTAATCCTCATTTTGTAAGGCATTTATGATCTGGTTTTAGATTTCCCATAGAAGCAAACGCTTATATTTAGTTACTTCTCTCAACGACAAAAGAAAACTTCTAATTATCTTTAGTAATTAGGCGCTAAAGGCTTGGCGTATGCTAAACACAATTTGAATCAACTTAAGAAATTTATCGTTTTTGGTATAGAGCGGATGATGGGATAAATGATGAAAAACTCAATCAAGATATCATGATTCTATCATTTTTGGTTACCGTGTTAAAGGGGATAGTCAAATCAATCTAATTGAAGAATCCTTGTCAATAGTCATTGTCTGTCATCCAAAAAAATCCTTATAAACTTGAGGTGAATGTTAGTCTAATTACTCAATTTTAAGTCAACTTTAGCTAATAGAAAACTTTGTTTCCTATCAAATGTAGTCCATAAATCACCAACAAGGGATTTTGAGCTTGGAGAACTTGTGGGATGAGACCATGACAGTAATTTAAAGGTAGCATATTGCAACAAGACACCATATCAAAGAGCCTCATTCATAATAATACCTTTTGTGTTATCATTAGATGACAGAATCACACAGTCAAAGGATACAATTCATATCCTTACAAATGCAGATCATTGATAAGATTATAAAGGTATGACGGAAATAACATTTGACCATTTGTGAACTTAAATTAATCTTTAAATTTATTACATTTGACATGTTATTGCAAATATAAAGAACAAAATTGCTCTTAGCATTAAGCAACAAATTTCACGCGAATTTTTTGAACTTGTACTTTCCTAATTTTTTTTGTGCTTTTTTATCTTGATTAAAGTCTAAAATAAGTTGCATGATGAATTAAAGGAATTTAGAAAATAGGACCGTATCTGGTTGAGATCTTTCTATTAATGTGGCAGCCATCAAGACATTTGAATAACTTTATTTTGTTGTTTTAAATATTATCTACTCTGCTTGATAGCTTGTAAAGAATTGGATCTTCAATGCACAAATGATTCTCAAAGAATTTGAATGTCTTATCTTTAAAACGCATAAGATTATTTGTCATGAAGTTTATTGCAGACATATTATATTTATTTTAGTGTATGAAGCATTCTAATCATTCACTTGAACATTAATGCATTTATCAAATCCCATCTATAATTATATATATATATATATATATAGACATACTTCTTTAAAATTTTATCAAAATCTCTTTTTTTATTATCAGCACACTTATCAATGTGCTTGCATGAATTTGAATGTCCAAACTTAATTATTTGTGTGACTGCATCATCATAGAAACACACAGATAGCTCTTCTTTTAAAGTTTGATATTTGATCTATCTGCATGTGTGCACCCGCTTTAGATCTGATGATAATACTTACACATTAAATTCCATTGAGTGTTTTAAGCATAATAGTTGTCTTTAAAATGACTTTTAGGGTATGTTTGGAGCAGTTGTAACTATTTGAAGAAGTTGCGGTGGCTATTTCAATTTTATTTTATTTAAAAAAAGTCAGATTGCGGCTTTCTGGCAGCCACCACACTTTAACAACTCAGGTTGAAAAAAACAGTTTTCTATCCCAGGAATTTATAAAAAATAGCAAAAAAACAGTTCCTCAAACAGAACTGTGGTAGCGGCTGAAAAGCAAAGCAAGCAGAAAGCTGCCCCAAACAAACCCTTAAATTTGGAGTAGTTTATTTGTACAACGCAGTAGAAAAACACCTAATACGTTGTTTGGTTTGCACGGTGCGGCAGTTTATCCAGAAATGCACCCATAAATGTGGGCCACGAACTCGACACTACGGTCCTCGCTTTTTTCGCGCCTATTACCCCACTGCCCCATGTTTTTGGTCTGCGATTTGTTCTCCTCTCTCACATCTTTGCCCTTGGTATTTCCTCCTCTCTTGCGGTGGGAAAACAGTCGATTCGGCAGCCCTTTGTTAGTTCCCCTTGCTCTTTGTTGTCCTCTAATTTCTTCTACCCTCTCTTTGTCGTTATGCCCTTCGCACTTTGTGGTTTGTGCTTTAATGCCATGTGTGGCTTGCTCTTTGCGGTTTTTGACTTTGTTCTATGGAGAAATTGATTAATTTCTAGCTTTAAGGAAGGGGAAACACCCTATTGCATTTCTTTTTTCTATGAAATTTAGAGGTTTTTAGTCTTTATGGTTTCGGCTCTTTGTTCTTTGTGGGTTTTGGTTCAATGATGATTCTAACTTGCTTCTGCGGTTTGTGGCTTTGCTCGGTGGAGAAATTGAAGTTATCATTAAAACGGTGCACTGCTTCATAGTTTAACTACATGGATCACAATTTCTTTTGCTTATAGATCAATTGGCATGTTTTTCTTTCTCCAACTTTTATTTTAGCTATCAATGGTTATTCAATGGTCATTCATATATCAAGTGCATTTTTTCTTGTGAGATTCAGAGGTTGCCCAAAGGGTTTGCTCTCTATCTCAAATGGGTTGCTATTGGTAGTTTGTAGCTATTGTGTATGATTAATTGTTCATGGTGCTTTGTGG